TATTCTGTCACTATGGTTTTCTTGCTCTGGTGACATCAACTAATTTGTACTGCTTTACAGGGAATTTCTGTGCCCGGCTTTTTAGCCAGAGTCTTGGCTTCCTTATGCTGCTTTTACTCTTTTCTGTCAGACTGAATTTCTTGCAGAAAGAAAATATTGCTCGATATTGATTCCGTTGTGCTAGCTAATTTCAGGCTCTTGTCCTGCAGATCATCTGAAGCGCTGTTCAAAATCTTGAAGGATTTTCTAATGCAAAACCCACAAATAAAAAAAAAGCACACAATATTGCCCAAAGAGAACCCTCTGTTCTCTAATCCTTTAAAAAACTGTTAGAAGTCAAATTATCAGGCTCTTTGCAAGGCGTACACAAATGAGTAAACAGTTTTCAAAAAGATCCTAAAATTCTTAGGTTTTTGGCCTGTGTTTTTATTTTGTTGGCATAAAATATTCATATTCTGTCAAAATGGGGCAGATATACCAGTGGAGAGATTGAAAGTTCTTCTTGATACTGTCCCTATAGAACTCAGTGGATTTCTGTAGAAGTAATAAGAAATCTCTTAGTTTACTTCCATGTAGATGAAGAATATCACATTTCAACCCCTTTGCTTCCTCTGTTTTGAGGACAAGGTAATCTGTTATTTTAATTTCTTTTTCTCCCCAGGCTGCTGTGAAGGCTGGCCTCAAAAGGCAATTATTCTTCAGTACTTTGAGCCCTAGGAGTACTCTCTTGTATTCTGAAAAATAAGAATTGAAAATATCTAACTAATGCCGTCTTCCCCTTCCACAAGCTATAGCCCATCCACCTTTGAGTTCATTAATGATTCCTTCCTCAGTGTTGCCATCCTGCTCTTTGTCTGCTTCACCTAACCTTCTGGTTTTAGATAGCACAAAGCTGCTGTGGGTCCATGTTAGAACTCCTCATTTACCATATACTGTTCTTGCTGTGTGAGTCAATGCCTTTCTACTGTGAATATGGTTTTATTTATAATGATTTTAAAAGCACAATATTTTTTCAAAAATATTTGAATACAACCTGAAAGATAAAAGATTATATTATTAGGGGCAAATACCTGCATCAGGCTATTTCAGCCTGAACAAATCATATTTGTCTGATACAAGCACCTAAAAGCAGAATAACAAAATGGGAAAATGCCAGAAAATCTTGAGAAGGAATCACACTGCCAACTCTGCCTAAAAAATAAATTAAGTTTACTAATGATTATATTTCCCCTTGTATCTATACAGGGAGCCTAGAGTTCCTGTTCTTTGGAGCTGAGATGTCAAATGCATTTCCTGACAGCTCCAGCTCACTTTTCATTATTGATAAGTTAAAACAGTGTGGCTGTTAGCTGTTCCGTAATTTGTCCAATGAGCTTAGGAAACAGCTGCAGCTTGAGGAGGAAGACATGAAAAGAACTCATGTATAATATGATAGTGGCACCTGAGCTCCCTCTGCCTTGCTGCCAAGCTAACGGTTGTCACAAAATGAAGGCTCTCTGCCTTCTGCTTTGCAGTCTACTTTGCTGCTGTGTCCTAGGAACGGAGCAGTTACGACTGAAGATGGGAAGTGCTTCTGGTGCTAATGGGTATTGGGGGAAATGGGAATATTGGCAAACGTGGAAGGCAAATAGGTCAAAGGGATCTCACTGTGTTAAGTGCGGGACAGAGTAAAAACAGGGCGATTACAACAGTTCTTTTTTTTCTTAGTTTAATTTTGCTGCCCAAGGTGGTTATCTAAGAATTCTGAAATACTTGCCTGTTTCGTTTTTTTCTTTTTTTTTAACCCTAATCCACAAGATAGCTGACAGGGTAACTTGTCTCTTATTACAAAAAAGATTTAGCATGTTTACTTAAAACTATTCATGCTAAAGCCCATATGAATATGTAAGAAAACGATTCTGTATAGCAGCATTTATGTGAGGATTGAAGTATTACCACACAGTAATAATGAAATCTAAAGATACAGATAAGATAAATGACAGGAAATTATACATAAAAATAGGAGAATTCTCCATAGAATAAATCTAAAGCTTATCATAAACAAAGAAAAAAATAGAAGGAACAGGAAGAAAAGTAGAGAGAAAAAGCACTGAGGTAAGAGGAGATAAGAATAAAAAGAATTTGTATCAAGGAGAAAAAAAATTAAAAAGACTATAAAGAGCAAACCATTTCCCAGATATGAAGGAATACACATGCTCAAGATTATCTGTATGTAACAGCTGAGTAAAGGCTTCTTTCTTCTGAATGTCTGCTGTAGTGAGTGCAGCTCATGTTATTGTCCAGTTAGTGTTATTACAAACTGATGCACTGTAAGAGATTTTGGCACTTAGGCAAATGTTGTGGAATTAACATAAACAGCCAACGAGTGTGACAGGAAAATCATGGTAAAGTGATAAGTATGGAAGTTGAAAATAACATTCTTAGATATCAAAAATAGCCTTGAGGAGTAAGAGGAAGCTAACAGAAGAAATAGAAGGTTGTTAAGAATGTAGGCAGGTGCTAAGTACAGAAGCAGAATGCCAAGAAAGTGAAATGTGACATTAAAAGCAGAAAATGAATTTCTCACTTCCAATTAGGGAATAATGGTGACTATGACCTGTGTGGGTGGGCACAGACGGTCATTTATCTTTTGGACGAAAACACAAGGTTGCCAAAAGTCTTGCCATCTGAGGCTTTGTCTCAATTTACTTTCTTAAGGATGACTTAGCAAGATTCTCTAGGATTTATTCTTGAAACAGATATGAGAGTGGATCACATACAGTATTGTCTGTTTCTCTAGCACTTGTCTCTGTTCTGGATTCAGATTCTGGATTCTGGATTGTTCCAGTACAATCAATTGTACTGGATTGCATAAAACAGAGAATTTGGCTTGCAGTGGCAGGAACAAGGAACTTAAAGAAGTAGAGGTCTGGTTAGAGATACAGATAAAAACATTTTAGGAAAAAAAAGAAAAGAGAAAACATCATCAAATAACACACAGAAAGACTAAATCTAGCTGGAGAAGATACTGCTATCAAAGTAATGATGAGGGGATCAAGACAACAAAAAGATACTATTTGCCTGTATTAGAAAGGTCAGCATGAATAAAACAAGCAGACAGACATAATAAGGAAGAATGCCACATTCTTAAAAATTTTAGGTGAGATGAAAAATAGCTGTAATGTTAAAAACAGAATTGAAGACTGTTGTATTATAAGAAGACTTTTATTATATGCTCATTTGTGATACTAGTGCAAATAAATGCAAATAAAGGATCTCAGAGAAGACTCTTAGCTGCTATCACCAGGGTTAGAAGCTGGATTTAGGGAGTTGGTAAATTGCAGAAAATTTGAATCTAGAAGATGTAGAATGTGATATTCAAAATAGTGTAAGACTTGGACTGGAAGAAAAAAAACTTGAATCTTACACTCTATCTTAGGAAAGTTAATACACAAGCTAGCAGGTCTGACTTTTCCATTAGGCCTTAGGAATCATCAAAATACTTTAGTATTGGATGGATTCTGTCAGAGATGCTCATCGTGCACAGTCTTATTCACTGCAATAAAAGGTTTTTTTTTTGGCGATGTTTGCAAATCTGTAAAGATGTAGGCTAAACACAAGACTTTGATGTTCCCAATTTTAGCACCCAAGTTTGCAAATAGTGGATTTGCAATGGATTTTCACCTACTCCAAAATTATCATGATACCATCCTCATCCTACTTGGTTTTGACCAATAGCTGCTATTAAGCTGCTATTAGTTGTTATTTTTAAGTAATTCCAACATTATTTAGAGTGCAATTTTATGTGCTGAATTTAGAACTCTGAATTCTGAAATGCTTATGCAGTTCACACAAAATGATATGTTGTACAGCAGGTTTTTGTAGTCTATTCATGGTCTGGTTTACTAACAGGCTGCTGCTGCTAACCCAGTTTAGGTCTTCCAGCAAGGGGTTTGCATTGATAGGAGTTTGTTCACAGAACAAAGCCTTATATTGCAAAAATTGATCAATTGATCAGCAAGTCATAAATTCATAATCTTGATTAAATTAACTATAGAAATTGTGAATTTCAGCATATATGAGTGGTTGCACTGGGATTGAATAGGTTCTTAGTGTCTGAGCATGTACAGAAGGAAAAGTTTAACTTAAGCAGAAATTCCTATATGGAAAAATATTTGGACAATTACATTTGCCTAAAAGTGAATCCTCTTCTCTAACTGTGAAGATTATCGTGTCATCTGGCAGAGCTTCTCTGAAAGACAGATAAGAAACAGACGCTAAGAAACAGGCGGATATCGAGACATATTGTCATATTTATTTATTTGTCTTTCTCTCTAAATCTAGCAATTAGTTCCTGAAACATTCATTCTGTTAGACAAAAACAACAACAAGTCATTAGCAATTTCTTTTTACTTTTCCCTTAAGTTTTGAGAGTGATTTCAGGCTTGTCCAGCCAACTGTATACTGCATATCCTGGCCAATGTCAGATGTTACTCTCTGAATAAACTTAGGTGTGTACTACATTTGGGGAGAGATCTTGATTGCCAACAAAGTTAAGAGTCTGTTTGAAAACAGCAAAAATAGGGGAAAAGGTCGAAAACATTGGATTTTCTCAAACTCAACTTAGTTTTCTTTTATCAAAATTGACAAAAGGTAGAATATAAAAATTTCATAAGCAGTAAACTAAAAACATTAACATCCTGACAGATGGTTGTATATTTAGTATGTTTTTCAAATTTGTATTGCTTCTCATTAAAAAGAGCATCCAAAATATTTGTAATCAGCTCAGATTATTTATTGATACCTGCACAACAAGTTCATGATCCTCCATGCTTGGGACTTTCATCTAAGAAAGGAGAGACAAAGCAAAGAAAACCCTATAAAAAGATCACCTGAGTTACTCCATGCTTATTACATACTGCTTTTGGGGGATAGAGGAGAAATGCTTAAGGACAAGGCTAAATTGTCAGATACAAGTTAGAAGAAATTCAGCTTATTTGAGTGCATGCCTTTCTTAACAGGGACTTTGAGTGTTCCAGTTCTGTCACAAAGATATGAATGGTCCTGAGACAGATGAAGAATGTAAATAAGCTTCTAGACCAAAGCGTAAGACAAAGACAGTGAAGATGAGAATTCAGACAGCAGCTCCAGATTCCAGAGGACTACAAGGTAGGTGGACAGCAAGACAAGTCTTATTGAACACACCAGGCTGTGGGACTCTGCTCCATACCTGTAGGAAATCAAGTTAACTGCCCTCACTGCAAGCTGATGTTTATAGCACAGTGTCCTGCTCTAGATTTCATCTAATTCAGGCATATTTTCCTTAGATACCTGTAGTCATGTAACCTACTTCTGATATGTGCATGAAGAAAGAGGCTGTCATGTCAGGTAGCACCTCCACAGACATTGTCAGAACAGGAGTGACAACCTGGGCATAACAGCAGCTTTCAGTATACAGAACAAAGCCAAACAAACACACAAACAATCGAACAGAAGAAAAACAACATGTAGTTAGCGTTCCAGAAAATGTGTTATTTAGCAATACTGCAGGAGTCTATTGATTGAAAATTCAATTCAATCAAAAAATTTTCCTTCTCGGACATGAGTCGCTGCTGTATTATTAAAAATTCTGAATGTTGTTGATCTGGTTGCTTTATTAAGGAAGAACAAGATGAAAGCAAGAGTCAATAACCCCTGAAAAATGAGAAAAATGTACATTTGTGGACTTAACAGATGGAGATAAGGGTAGGTTCAAATTATTAAGAAAACTTACTTGCTAAAATTACAAAAATATTTAACTTTTGGATTTCAAAAATAATACACTTGTAATATACTTTAATATGAAGTTGAAACTTAAACAAAATGAAACCTCATCGCTTAATAGTAAAAGCAGTTATTCTGCAGCCTGTATTTGTTACTTCTCTGACAGGAATAGAAGAGAGCAAGAATCTTTGGTTTCTTTTTGTGAAATAGGGGTTCTATTACTTTGAGTCCGGTTCTGCCTGTTTTATAAATATTAGCTGGAAAATGTGATAAACTCCTCATCAGTTTTCACAGAGTAGAAAATCCTTCATTCTCTGTATATGATCAGCGTATAAGCACTGTTTTTGAAAGGTTAGTAGTTGTCACGGTTTGTCCTCAGAATCTTAATTATGTAAAGTAATAAATTTAGCATGAGTAATTGTAGCACTATTAATTTTAATTCATATTTCAAGAGTGCAGAAACATATACAGATAGTAGCAAACTTTTTGAACTGCATTATGCTAAATTTTTCTCCAGATTAATTAAATGAGTGCTCTTTAACTCTCTTCGTGATCAACCATAATCAGGCCTTTCATTTCACCTTCAGGCTCATGTTTTCCTGACTGATGGTACTTTCATTAAATTTCATTTCTTCTCCTTGCATTTAAATTGTTCCTTTTCATGAACATTTGTCCATATGAAGTTGTGATCATAGGGCTCTTAGGGCTCAGTCTGAGGGCTGAAAATGTTAGCTGCTTATGCCAACTTTTCTTGTGACAACTAAATAGGAGTTTCTGTGAAATGAGGTAATATTTTCATACTTCATGGTTTGTCAGTTCTTTAAAAAAAAACAAAACAGAACAAAACAATGCAGCAAACTAAAGAGAAGGATGTGGGAGTCCTAATGGACAACAGGATGGCTGTGAGTCAACAGTATGCCCTTGAGGCCAAGGCTAATGGTATCCTGGAGTGTACTGAAAAGAGCATGGCCAGCAGCTTTATTCTGCTCTGTCCTGCTGAGTCCACATTTGGAGTACTATGTCCAGTTCTGGGCTCCCCAGTTCAAGAAAGTTAGGGAACTGCTAGAGAGAGCCCAGGAGAGGGCCAGAGAGATGATGAGAAACTGCCCTGGGGCATCTCAGGTGTGAGGAAAGTCTGAAAGATCTGGGGTGTTCAGCCTGGAGAAGAGAAGGCTGAGGGGGGGTATAAACAGTGCATTTAATATATTGATAAACATATTATATGTATGTTGTTATCACTGTTTACAAATAAATAAAGTGCAGGAGTCAAGTCAATGGGGCAGACTTTTCAGCAGTGCCCAGCGAGAGAGCATGAGGCAGTGGGCGCAAACTGGAACACAAATAGTTCCATATGGACATAAGGAAAAACTTATTTACAGTGATGGTGAGAGAGCACTGGATCAGGCTGCCCAGAGGGGCTGTGGAGTCTCCTTCTCTGGAGATATTCAAGACCCATCCGATGCCTACCTGTGCAATACATCTATCGCAGGGAGCCTGCCTTAGCATGGGGCTGCACTCAGTGACTTCCCTATGTCCCTTCTTACCCCTATAATTCTGAGACTCTATGAAATATGAAAGCAATAGCAATATGTACTTCTGTTTTTATTACCATTGTCTGTTTCTTTTGGGATGGCTTTAACCACAGCTGTGAACATGGTTGGGGTCCTTTAGATGGCCACTTCTGCAGTTTGCTACACGTATGGCCGGTATGGGGGAACATAAAGACTACCACGAAGTCAAACTTTCAGATAGTCTGCTATGTTAATACTGACCTTTAATAGATAGCATTTAACTCAAGAGCTTGAGCTGGGAGAAAAACGTGTGCTTGTGCAGACCGTTAGAAGCAACATCGACTGGAACGCAACACCGAGGACCACCATAGCACTAACGTGACTGAACTGCCTCAAGGTCTACAGAAACACAGGAGTGGGTCGGCTCAGCGAGATCAGTGCTGAGGTCCTGCAGCACCCCTCCATTAAAACAACCCTTGGCTGCAGCCGCGCCAACGTTTGAGGCCCTCTTCCTGCATAGCCGGGCCACGGACACCCGCCCTCACCCGCTCCCGGGGCGCGGAGCTACATGGCGCCGGGACTCCCCGCCTCCCTCCCGCCCCTTTCTCCACCCCTTCCCGCTTTGGCGCCAAACGGCGAAAGAGAACGGCAGGATGAGCGGCCATCAGCGCGGCCACGTTAACGGGTACGCTCCTTCGCCTCCTGCCCTGCGCCGGCCCTCGGGGACCGCGCTGAGCGAGCGAGGGCACGACGGGGCGGAGAGGCCGCGGGTTCAGGGGGTCAGCGGGTATTGCCGTTTCCAAGCTCCCTCTGCGGTTCCCTTCACGCGCTGGGGCTCAGCAGCTCGGCGGGGGGAAGCGTGAAGTGCCTTAGGGAATGGCATGCACATCTGGCACAGCATTACAGGCTAAACGGTTAGGCATAAGGAAGCTAATGCAGAAAGTCAGCAGGAGCGTGTGACCCATTTGGCTTTTGGGAAACGAGGCCGTAGGTGCTAAGGGGGCTTTTTTTAAGAAAGAAATACACGCTTGGACTTTTACCTTAATTGCTGTGAGTTGAGTGATAAAATACTGGTAGTTGATTTGCAGTAGAAATCTCCTGGGAGAAAAAGAAAATACGGTGTAGTTGGAACGTGGTGAAGGCCTCACCTGGAGCACTGTGTCCAGATGGGGAATCCTCGGTGCAGGAGAGATGTGGTCCAGAGGAGGGCCACAACAATGACCCAAGGGATGGAACACCTCCCTACAAGGACAGGCTGAGAGAGCTGGGGCTGTGCAGCATGGTGAGGGAAAGGCTATGGGGAGACCTGAGAGCGGCCTTTCAGTATCTAAAGGCTAAAGTAAGAAATCTAAACCTAAACTCTGAAAAATCTGGAGTAAGAAAGAAGGGGTCAGACTTTAGAAGGGTCAGTTGTGCTAGGACAAGGGGAAATGGTTTCACACTAAAAGAAAGCAGATTTAAACATGACGTAAGGAAGTGTTTTGCACTAAGGGTGGTGAGGCACTGTCACAGGTTGCCCAGAGAGGTGGTGGATGCCCCATCCCTGGAGACAGCCAAGGTCAGGCTGGAGGGGCTCTGAGCTCCTGATGGAGCTGTAGGTGTCCCTGTTCAGTGCAGGGAGTGGGACCTGGTGGCCTTTAGGGGTCCCTTCCAACTCAGACAGTTCTGTGATTCTATACTGCATGTGGTATCAGAAATAGAAAGCAGCAGGAAAATGAAAAGGGAAAAGAAAGTCCAATACCTGTCTATTCACCAGTTGTACTACACTGTTGTGTAACTGACCACTACAATTCATTGTCTGTGTTCTGTTTTAAGATTTTCTACCTTTTTTCTTTTTTTTTTTTTTTTGGTTGTTGTTTAGGTAAACTTTTTTCTTTTTTTTTTTTTTTATTTTCTGTAGCTGGATGAAATTTCTTCCCTTTTTTTTGACACAGTGTTATCATTTACTTGAAGATGAATGGGAAAGAACTGAGAACAGAGGCTTGGCCTTTAATTGCAGACTCTCTGTTTGCCTTTGAAATGCTGTTTACATAGACTTTTCTACAGATTATAAATTGTTGTAGAATTTGGGGATTTTTTTCCTTCCTTTTTGAGTAATGTTATCTGCATGGCTTTCACTTCCCATTACTTTTATTCATTGATTTGTTTGAATTATCACAAGGATAAATGTTATTTTCTCTTTTTGTAGCTAGCTTTTTTAAGCAATTTTTTTTAGAGTAGATATTCTTCATGCAATTCTAGAACTTACAATTGAGTGTGAAGAGAATTATCAGCTGCCTAAAACCTTTATGCTTAATTTTCTTGTTTGTGCTTTACCACTAGCCAAGTCCTTGGCTTCTACTTAATCAGAAATGAAGTGTTTTATACCCATTTCACACTCTTGTGTTCCTGTGCAATCAGCTGAAGGAATCATCTAGCCAAACGTTGTGATGTTAAGTAGAAGTAATTGAGTGAGGGTTTTTTTTTTTTTTTTTTTTTTTTTCTCATGTTCTCTTTGATGTCAGCCTTCTGCTCATTTCTCAGATATGCGCCTCTTGCTGTGAAGCTGGTACTCTGAGGGGCTTCGCTTACTTACTGTTTTGCATCATAACAAAAACTAAATAGTAGCTTTTGCAGTTTTTTGTTTTTTTTTTGGGGGGGGGGTTTGGTTTAATAACAAGATTTACTAGGAAATAATTTAACAAAAGGAGATGTCGGAATCTCTCAGTTCTCAGTGCTATGATTTTTCTGGAGAGCTTTTCCCAGAATGTGTTACATGGTGTAGTTCTGCACTGGGTGTTACGTATCTTTGTTGAGGGCTCACAGAAGATGTCACTGTGAATTTCACTTAGGAATGTAGTAGAGTATTCCTTTAAAGTCTGTGGGGGTTTTGAAGTGTGTAAATCTACTTTTGTGATACATTGTAAATAATCACTCATGAGTTTAAACATTTTCTTCTAATTTCAGTAAACCTGGTCCACGTTCAGTTTGGCAAGAAGTGTGTAAGGGGAAGTCTTTAATTTCTGCTGTGAACCTCTTGTGCTCTGAACACTCTTCTTTGGTAGTAGGATGCAGTTTCTATTTCTTAGACAATTCAAGCCAATTTGAGCACCCTCATTTTTATGTTTGCTTTTATAACAGACAATTTTTGATACTGTTTACAATGTTGTCAAAGTGTAGGAGAGGTCTGCTGGTTGCACAGAGAGTGTATGTTTCTCCCATCTTACTCTGAGATGATGGCCTTAATGATAATCCTCATTCATTCCAAGAAGAAGCAAAAATTGCTTACTTCTAAGATGCCACATATAAACCACTCAAAAGCAGTAATTTGTCTTTGGTAAATAGAGCCTTGTGGGTTTCTAAAGTACAGTTTTAGTATGTACTGGCATTCTCTTCACTTAAATAGTGTAACCTCGGTGTTACAAGCTAACTGCAAGCCTCTAACACATGCTATTTTATGTTTTTAGTCATAAAAACAATCATTAACAAAATGCTTGTCTTCTAATGTTTGTGCTTGGAAGGCACTGGCACTAGAGTGGCTGTGAGATGTCTTGCAGTTTGCGGTTACCTCTGATGCACTATTCTGCATGGCTCTACACTGCTGGAAGGGTATCTCAGTCCCTTTCCTCTTTTTTTTTTTTTCCCCTAAAAAGTCTTAAGCTGTCTTCCTGGTAAGTGGAATCCAGGAGGAAAAGTACTGCACTTCTGTGTTTTGGTAAGCTATTTACTGTCTTGTATTTGAGCTGTTCTGAGGATTGCTGAAGGGCTGTTAAAATCATTACATCATTTTGGTTTTCAAGTGTAGCAGTGTTAGGTGGGATTTGGGGGACTTTTCTTTTGGGCTTGATGTTTTTCTGGAAACTTGCAAATCTTTCAGGTACTGGAGAGAAGGTTGGGGGGAAAAAAAAAAGTCTGTCTTTGCCTTCTTTTTCTGAAAAGCACAGATACCTTCCTGTTGTGTTTTGTGCTGTCCAGGAAGTCTTTCAACCGAAAGGAGGCAAGAGAAAGTGACGCGTCACTTCTCCTGTGCTCCTTCTCTCAAATAAACCGCTCAGTGTAGGGGCAGAGGCAGCTTTTCATGCCACATTTATACATTCTGTCTGAGGGGAAAACTTGTTGAACTCATCAGCTTACAGGGGGTGTTCATAAAGCCCATAACCTCAAGAGAAACTTAGTATTGGACTATCAGAATGGTTTACAGCCTCAGACTGTTGCCTGTAAGCATTGTCCAAAGAAGCAGACTCAAGCAATAATTGTACAGGCAGAAACGAATGACAGAGCTGGAAGCCTCCGAATAGAAATCTAGAGAATACTTGTCATAGGCGGAAGTACAAAATAGCTTAGATTAGAGGCTTGCAGTTAGCACAGTCATCACAAAAATGATTGTGTTGTTTGAGTGAAAAGAACGCCAGTACAAGATATACCTGAATCTTAGAAATACACAAGGTGTTATCTGTCGAGGATAAATTGCTCTGTCTTTATAGCTCAATGCTCTGAATAGCTCAACCTTCTTATCTAAAACAGAAATTTGCAACCTTGCTGGGTTTCCTTTCCTCTGAAAGGAAATGTTGCATATATATGTTCTTGGAAAGCATGTAACACTGATGATTTACTGGCGAATGAAAGGTGGTCTTTGTGAGATTCTAGTCCTTTAGATTACTTTAAACTTGCTCTCATTGGAAGAATGCAGTCAGCAGTAACTTCACCTAAGTGTTATTTACTGATGATGACTGCATTTTTTTTTTTTTTTTTTTTTTTTTTTTGGAAACTATAGTTTTGGCGATGAAGCATCCTGTAAAAAACGAGAGGATTATCTGGAATGGCCTGAATATTTTATGGCAGTCGCATTTTTGTCAGCGCAGAGAAGCAAGGACCCAAGTTCTCAGGTAAGAAGTCAATGTATAAGAGTAACATAACCTAATCTGCCTTACACATCACATCAAGTGCACATGTAGCATTTTCAGGGTTTTCTTATTAAAAGTCATTTTAGTATATAGCTTTTGAATTTTCAACACGATCAGCGTTTTTTGTTACAGAAATTCTTTTATTGGCTCTGACCTCGTGTATAATTCTCTGTGTACATTTGTAGGTTGGAGTTTTGTTAATATTCCCTTCATCTGAAGGTTAAAATGACACACACATTTTTTCCTTTTTCTTGTAAATATAGTTACAGTTAGAGGAGAATATAACTACTGAAAGTTGTAGATAGTAATGTTTTTTAAAATATATTTATCATCTCAGAAGTTCCTTTGCCTCACCTGCAAGAGTATAAAAATTCCTTCTTGTTTGTTATTGCACTCAAGTTGTCTCTCTCTCCATCCTTTACTTTGCTCGTGTACCTCTCTTGCACTTAACATTGGTTGGAGGTGATAGATAACCTCTCATGAGACATGCAGTTCTGCAGCACCCAATCAAGCTGTTGGTTTCCTTTCCCTGAAAAATTTCAGGAAGAAGATCCCAACAAAGCAATGGATTAAAATGCATGTATACAGCCTGCTCAGTTACTTGCTGGCTTCTGTGTGTTATGGCTCTCAGTTCTCTGAAGCATGTTTATTTAGGGCTAAATTCTTGTTTACCCAGTGCTAGTTAATAAACATGTTGTGTAAATTAAAATCAATGCTATTGTTGTTTCAGTACGTCTAAATTATGGACGCAAAACTTAAAATTCTTCATCACTTCCTCAGTCTAAAAGAAGGGCTGTGTGCAGATTTGGATTAAAGTACTAGAAGGAGGGGGTTAAAGTGTCTGATCGTTTGGTGTGTGTTTGCATAAACAAGCCATGCAGGGTGAATGCTTATCTCTAGCTAGGTCAGAACTAGCACATTTTTGTCCAGTCATCCATCCATTTTCTTTAGCTCCTGCGGCTGCTTATATTGCACTGGAAAAACTGGTCTGGGGAGCTGAACTGACAGAAAACTTGTATGTAGCACTGTTAGTTGCGTGCTGGTTCTGCTCCCTGAACTTGGTTCACTTTGTAGTCAGACAAGGAACAGCGCTGGCAGACTGAGCTGGGGGCTGGGTGGCTAGAAGGTAGCAGGCTTGCATCTGCCCTGGTCTGCCTGTTGGGTTCTATTGTGACCTTGTTTATTGCAGCCTTGTCAGGTAAAGCTCGTATCTCTAAAATTTGTAGCATTGACTTTTCAGCTCTTATCTTTTTTGATATATGATTTTTGCATGCTGTTGGTACTACACAAGTCTTCTTTTTTTTTTTTTTTTTTGTTTTGTTTTGTTTTGTTTCAGGTTGGTGCCTGTATTGTAAATTCAGAAAACAAGATTGTTGGAATTGGGTACAATGGGATGCCTAATGGCTGCAGTGATGATGCACTACCTTGGACAAGAACAGCAGCACATAGATTAGACACAAAGTATCCTTACGGTAAGGCTACTTGTAGCTGACAAGTCAGACTTCTGATGTTCCTGCATATGAAAGACCATCTGGTAGAATTTCATTCTGTTTTTCTTCCACTTATCCATCTTTGTTAATGTGCTCATACATGATACATCAGAATAATAATCACAACTCTGAAAGTAAATTAAAAGTCTGCATGGAGGGCTGGCTTCTGTGTGAAGTATGTTTATACATGGTTAGCCATTTTAGACTTTGAAATGAAGTCTGGTAAATGTAATGCAGCTTATCAGCACACAGTGCATGCAAATGATTGCTGTTTTGGTGTGTTTGTCTCCACGGAAATTACTGAAAGCACGTATATGCAAAACAAATAATTAGTCTAAAGTACTAGTATTAAAATTGTAAACTGCAGTGGTTGTGGGAAATCCCAGTATTAAGGTGTTTGTGGCATAGATAATACATGTTATGACTTGTAGATTTGAATTTTGTCTTAAGTGTATGACATACTGTCATTCCATGCCTCTTTTCATTTCATGTCACAGTAGATCCTCACTGCTACAAGTGAAGTGACTTTCACTGTTTATTTCAACCTGTGATTTGATTCACCTCTACTAAATGGAGAGAATGAATGAGGCGCAAGGACAGTTTCATGGTAAAATAAAGCTGAGTGCTACTTTGGATTGTGTCTTCACAGCAGGCTTAGTCTGGCTTTCTGCAGGCTTGCTTTGAAGGGTCCTCTGTGATTATTGACACATCTACCAAACAAGGCCACATGGTTAGACCTCTGGGCCATGTGTGATTTGCAGGAACCAAAGAGGATGGTTCTCTGAGCTGACTTGAGGCTTCAGTCCATGAGGACTGGCTGTTATTGGGCATGGAAATAGTATTGAGAGTTGTCTTGCAGATTTCAGCAGGTACTGTTGTGGATGAACTGTGGTTAGGACTAATAAAGAAGGGGGGAGTGCATGCTGTCTTCAATCCCTCTTCATGTTTTTGCTTCCACGCCAGCTCTTGCTGAACCTCTGTGCGGTGAGACTAGTGCAGCAGGAGCTGTGGGAGCAGGAAAAGTGGGTAGTTCCTTCATTTTGTGCTTCATCTTAGTCCCTCCTGGGTTCAGGAGTGGAAGGGGGAAGAACCACAAAGCCAAATGAAAACCCTTGAGAATTTTTCCTGTGCGTGAATGAGGGGCAGTGAGCACCAGAGCTTGGATTTTATAAGGATTCTGACTCCTCCAATACGAAGTATTTATTTCTGTCCAATAAATCCATGTTCTTGTTTGTAACTTCTAAAAATTGATCTGATACAGGAATGGGACTTGCATTAGCTTGGAAATTTCTTGTGTTCATCCAAAGCTCTTTCTGAACAGTGATATTACATTTTCCTATAGCTTTGAAATGTAAGATTATATGCTGTGGCTCAGCTCAATTAATCAGCTTTGTTTTTGAGTTCTTGTCCTTGTTCAGTTCACCAATTCATCATCAGACTTCTAAAACTAGCTCTTAAACATGGTAAGATTTCTTGTTATTTTTCATAAGAGACGCACTGCTTACAGTAGCACCAGCTCCTGCCAAATTTTAACGTCTGTTCTAAAGCACAGAAGCTCTGGTTTTACATATAATGAAGATACTATAATGGTTCACCATGGTACGACTGCTTTTTATTTATAGGGTGTGGAAACAAACATTGCCCCATTGATTAAAGATAAAGCTGAAAAGAGAATATTGATTTTGGTTGAGTCATTATGCTTGCTGCAAGTTCTCAGTTCTGAACTAAGATCAGTGTGTGTGGTCTTTGGGTCTTAAGCACGTTCCAGGAGAGATGCAGAAATAGGGCTCTCAAATATGAAGCTCATTGATTTAAACTAAAAAAATATATATATATATGGGATTTGTGGGAATATTTTATACAATAAAATATGAGGGTTTTTAAAATTTTATTTCTAGTTAATACTGGCTCCAAAAGCTGTGGAATATTTCTTTTTTAACAAGTAAAAAGTTAATACACAATGGTTAAAAAATGTACTTATCAGTTTTGAAAGCCTGGAGAGATGAGTTCATTGCTAGGAGCTGCTCCAACTTGTGCCTTTCCCCTAAAGAATCTCAGTCTTCACCTCGTTAGGAAACATCACCACTTTGTAACAAAGTGTCTACTGTGACGAATTAACAACCTATTTTGTAATTCACAGATCATTTAAAATCTAGCAATTTCTTATTAATCTGGATAGCACAGTTGACAAAACAGGCAAGTACATATAAAAAAAATAAAATCTGCTTTAAGAAATTGCGGTAGATTCAAAGCGACACATAGAATTGCTGCTAAAATCTCATTAAGCTGTCATGTTTTCCTTACTGCTTTTGCTGATTATCACTGCATTTGTGTAAATTGAACTTCTTAGCTTTGATTTTTGTTGACTATCTTGTTAAAGGGTAGTACAATCTTACTATGTGCTCCATGAGCTTATCATGGGAACGCTGGCGCTGACTCCTCTAGAGCTGGGTGGTGTTTATTATGTCAAGATGGTAACTGTGCATATACCACCACGCTACCCTGGAAGATGTCTTCTAGAGCTCTTTTATGCATCTGCACTGCTACAGAAAAGGGCTGAGGTTTGATCTCAGTGCTGTTTTAAGTGCTGCATTAGTTTAGCATAGCCATCAGCTCGCTTTCTGTGTCTTTTGGACCGCTCCGAAGGTCTGTTTCCAGAGCAAAGCCTAGGTGTTGCTCTGAGTGGCTCCCTCCAAGGCTGCTACAGAGTGCAGGGTGGAAAAAGAGCTGTAAGAAAACTCTTGTTCTATTGTGCAAAGCCTGCTGAGACAGTATGCTTAACCTTCCTCCCTCCCTCAGGCCATACTGGGGGATAGGCAATGCATGCCTTGTTTCATGCTGTGCAAGTACCATTGTGGTGGGCTGCAAAAAAGTCATCTTATTTCTTTATGCAGTTTGAACTGAAACATACAAAATAAATGCGTGCTGCCCTGGGACTCTTGAGATGTGGAGCTGTGTGGCCCAAGTTCTATGTAATGCTGATGGATACCCGAGCAAATGAACATGAACTAGCATGTGCCAGTTGGCCTTAGGGCCAAGGGTCATCCCTGGCTCAGTCTGTGTTTAGTGTTACAGGTACAGCGGGGGATTGGACCCAGAGGCTATTCTTGCAGAGCTGTGTTAGGTGATCCTGTAATAAATTTATTGAGCTTCAGCAGAACAGATGGATACATTGACCCCACAGCTCTGATCAGTTTCACTGCTTTATAGCTAGAAAACTTATTTCTATGCTAAGTTAATGGTTTTATACATTCTTGAGTATACTAGCATTGTTCTTTCAGCTTTTCTTACTAAGTGCCATCAACCCTTCTTCCTCCTTTCCCTCTTTGCCCATGCACTTACTGATAACAGTGATCTTTTGAACTTTTGTTTTAAGGCTAAACGAATCCTGTCAGTCTTACGTTTTACTACATCTTGAGAGCTATTGGCTTGAGATTGTCTCAGTTATCTGTGTTTGCCACAATATAGCATACATTGTACATATCTCGCCTGCACTGTGAAGTGTGACTTCTGCTCAGTGCAATGTTAAAGAAAGGGCTGTGCTTGATTAAAAATTGTTTTTACCCTTATCTAAATGTAACCTGAGCTGCTACTGAAAGAAGGCATGAAAATGCTAGGTAGTGCTCATTTTACCTAAGAGGATGCAAATGTTTGCAAGCTGTTCGAATGCTACAGGAATCATGACGTAAATCACCCATATTGATACTCTGCATTCCCTATGAGAATCTTGAAGCCAATTAAACCTTTTCTTTTGAGCTGTGCAATATACTTGAACAGGTTAGTAGTGTAGCTTTGTTACTTTAGAAAGTAGGTAATGTTTTGCTGAACGCTGTTTTTCTTAGCAGAAAATCAAGCTGCTTTTTGTTGCTTTGTGGGAACTGGTTCTTTCCAGGCTGCCAGTCAGTGACAGAAATTGGGATGTTTCTGTGCACCTCAGAGAAATAGAAAGCTAGTTTTGAACACCCACTTCACTGAGATGTTATTAAAAGCTCTTCCTAAAGCTTTGTGCTCAATACAGTGTACGGGAATTTCTGAATAATTACGCAAAATTCTGGTGCTTGGAGTCAAAAGTGAGTGCCCCCTGTGCTGTTAGATGAATGCAAAGCTTTGATGATGCATTATTTCTTCTCACTGATCATTTAAAATACTACATTTTTCTCCTATTAATGTCTTACTACTGATGCTAGTTGCTATGCTCCTGTTACGCCCTCTGTCTCCACTGTAATCTAAGAACATCTATTTGACAACCAGTCTCTAATTAAGAGGGTTTTAAATTAAAATGACTGGCAAATATAGAAACCTCTAAGCAATAGAGAAAATACTGAGTAAATATGCTTACAAATATTTATACAGGTTCAGATACGATAAAATATGTGCTGTGGCAGAAAGTATACTCTAATTGAACAGTACCTGCTGTGTAAAATGAAACAAACTGTTAGCAACATTTTGTTGTGTTAGGATTATGAGCTTTTCATCAATTTTTTTAAAGAGATGAACGCTTGAAGATATTCAGGCAAATGTTACTTCTGTAGAAGCTGTTATTTTGACAGCATAAAACTTGATAAGGCACTATGAAGAAGTGTGATGCACTCTCTCCAACTGGCAGTGCAAAGCCGAGGCTTCAACTGGAATGGGGATCTATAGGAGATGCTCTCCACCTACAGCCTCTCATTCTCTTGTCCTGCCTGGATTTCTTTCTAATTCTAGCATCGTACACCAAAATGTCTAAGAAATTTGGGAACTTTGAAATAATTTCTCATATTCTACTTGCCACTTAAGAAACAGCCCTGTGCTCTGTTGAGATTAGTGCAATCTTGGAGCACTATGGTAAGAATGGATTGGATTAGCTATTGCTTTTCAGGTTCTGCAAAAGGTTTCCCTGCCTGCTCCCAGCAGATTTTATGTGCTGCTCATAAATGGGCTGGGTAGTCCCCATATTCACTTCCCAGTTCTCCTCTTTTAACAGAACAAATTAGTTAGGTGGGGCTGTTCCCTCTTCCTGACTGCAGTCTGAAAAGGCTAAGGCTCTGATGAAATCTGGTTCGTGTTAACATTGCCTTCTTGCCCCAACCACAGCAACTGCTCTTAGAGCAAAAAAGCAGGAAGGAGCCAGCAGAAATAGCTGTGAGCAGCATCAACACAACATCAGAGTTCTATCTTCCACTGGTGCAGTGAGCAGCATCCACCCCCCACACTTTCACAAAGGTTGAAATAAAATTAGCATCGTTCTATAGTTTGAACCACAGTCCCCAGGCGCTGTCACTCCAGAGCTGGTGCTTTTCAGTAACTCCTCAGTGCCTTCTGCATCCTTGCTGTGTCCAGCATTGGTGCAGTGAGTAGAGGGTAGCAGGCAAGTAGAGCTTGGACTAAGTTGGGATGGACAAGGGGCAAAAACAAAGTGAAGATTTTACCAAAGGACTGAAAAGAAGAGGGTGAAATTACGTAACTCCCCGTATGCGTTTTTGTGCCAGCTTTATGTTGCAGAACACCTTGCCAGTACCATACATTTGTTCTGGGTTTGTCAAGTTGGTTAAGGTGGCAGTAGAAAATCTTACGTTAACAAATAAGTCAGAACATGTTGCGTGACACTGTATGCATTGAAGTGTATTTCCTTTAAATGTGACACCATATTTAGTGCGTGAAGTCTCCAAATTCTTGGTCTGTTTTTCTGAGTAATTAGCTACACAGAAAGGTCGCTTCCTGGAATCTTTGCTTTGTTTTCTGTTTAAAATATAACATGTTACAATGGTCCGTACTCCAAGCTCTTCATCAAGCCTTGTAAGCCTTTTCACAGTATTAATAAACATTTTGGGTAATTCTAGTGGTTCTTATAAAATCACTGATCAGAACAGTCTTAGAAGGTGGAAAGAGTGGTTCTGAACACTGCGAGTCAGGAAGAACATATTCATGGTAAGTGTTTAATACTGAAAAATGACTGTCAGTAGGGTGAGTGGGGGGAGAGGGGGGTTCTTGTTTGTGGGTAGGTTTAAGGATGAGCATTACCTAATATGCAATAAAAGTGATATGCAGCAAGAAAAGATAGAAACACAAGTAGGAATTAATACTACCAGAAATTAATCAGTCCTCTATTTTTTCCCCCCTCTCATGCACATTGTATTAGGTGAAGGAAATGTCACAGGACACACTGTGTTACTGCATGATTGTTTCTTCAGCTAATGAAGTCTTTAGAGAATACTTTTCAAGCCACTTTTCCAGCATAGAAACCAATCTTCAAGACCTAATAGACCTAATATAACGTTAACTGTATGTGAATATTATTTAAAAAAAAAAAATACTAAACAACTGGGAGTTCCCAGGGGGTATTGCAAAAATTTTAGTTCTAATGGCCTGCTTAAATAAACAGCTTTCAGATTTCTGAACACTATGAACCTGTGCAAGGTTTCTTTTAGTGTCTTACTGTCTGAGAGGGAACAATATTTTGCTAATAGTAGCTGGAGCTCTTAATGGTTTAGAAAACTTTGTGTCACCTTAAATGGGAACTACTCTTGTCATTACAGTTAGGGATTTTGAAATCTGGATTTGACTTTTGTCTCTTTAAGTAATACTCTCTACAAAGTTGGTCAGGTCTGTAAAGTAATCTGTTATCCATACAATTTTTTTATTTATAAATGGATCAACAGTAAATGCCTATTTGCTAGAGAAAGAAGAATGAGAAAGAGGGAGTGAAGACCTATGGGACAAAACCTGAAAATATCTGTCTGATGCCTGTACCTTATTATGGACCATCTAACCTACTATCTCTTACAGGTGCCAGTAGCAGGTGTCTAGGGAAATGTATAAAACAAAGACACAGAAAATAATAGATCCCCCAGAATAGTTTTCCAAGTTCAAACTACTGAGCCAGAATGGTTTTGTAATTAATAGCCCAGTAAACAAGGGGTGTAAAAAGTACTGGAAGGAAGGACTCCTTTAATCAATGCGAACCTTTAGTCTCCTACTACTTTGTGCTTAAAGGAATATTTAGTTGAGCTACAGTGTGCATGAAAAGTTCACCTCCTCTGGTTTTTAAAACTAAATCCTGTTGGCTTTACTGGAGATTCCAATGCTTTTTGTCTCGAGATGATTGCTTCTTTCATATTATCATCTCTGTGTCGTCTTTGTCTCTCTTTTCACTCTAGAGAGTTGTAGTTGTTTTTAACTTCAAATTGTGTTAAGATAGACAGGAGGCAAAATATCTCCCTCCCTCACTCCGGCTGATTATCTTTCATAAGTTATTTTTGCCCTGAAATTGTTTTTGCTTGGAAGAGGTTTGTTGTTGAAAGTCTGGAAGTCTGTAGTTTCTAAAAGGCTATTTCTCATCAGTGCAGGAGGAAAGTTATAGTGGTACTAACACTGAAATGTGGCTGTGTTTGTGGCTGAGGACTTCTAAGTTTTAGTAAAGTAGAAATATTTGCTGAAGGAATTAGGGTGGTTATTTATTTATTTACTTCTGTGAGCCTTTGAAAACATTCTGTCATCCTTCTTTCTTTTGTGGAGGCCTTTGAGACAACTGCCTGGAATATAAGCCCGTTGTTCAAAGAAACTGGAAAGGGATGGCTCTGTCTAGTCACCAAACCCAAGTTCCAGGTGCTGTTTTACCCTTACTCTTCTGTAACCCCAGCAGAATAATTCTGTGGCTATTCCTTTGAAGGCTGTATAAAATTAATGTAACTGAGTAATATATTTGAAGTTAAAAGTGTTTTCTGGGTTTTCAAAGTTTAAAAGTTGCTATACTTTTATATCTTGTGTAATTGATGGTACAAGTCTAAAATACAGTGTGACGCAATTATCATAGTAGTAGAAATAATAGTAACAAACGGTTTATTTTTTCCTTTGCTGTTATTACTTTCCTATTTTTACGTTGGTTTCTGGCTTTTCTTTTTATGAGAAGATATGTGAACAGTGTAATTATAGTGATTCTGGGGGCAGCTTGTCTAAGTTGATACTGAGCTTTCTTTAGTAAGTGTTTGGTCCTTAGTGACTTGCCTACATGGGAAAGTTTATTAGGTTATATATTAGACTGTATATTAGGCTGTAAATTTATAGCACGTTAGCTGTTACATAGACGTTCCATGTAGACCTTTAGCACATACGGAAAACATTTCCATTCAGTAAGGATTCCTGCATGCTGAAAGTGCAGCACTCAGTTATTCTTCGTGTGGCAAGATCATGCACACAGGGGTCAGTCTATAGTTGCACCTATATTATGAACTTGTGCTCATAACTTTCCCTGTTTTAATTTTCCCATATATGAGAGGAAGACTTTTTTTCCTTTTTTTTTTCTTCTATTTCTTTTTAATCTGTTCTTCAAAACCTGTGCTTGGTGTTACTTGTACACACAGGTCTCTGGCCGAGCTCAGAGCCACGCTTGAGTGCCTGTTTACAACGTCTATCATGACACCAGACAGTTTCTCAGTAGACAGATGAATACGTTCTGCAACTTGCTGACATTCCTAGGTGTAAACAGAAAGTTGTAGCACAGATCCTGTTTCCTAATGGTTTTCTTCAGAAGTTCATGGTGGATGACCTAAACTGAGCTCTCTTCTCCTTTGTCTGAAACACGTTCCATGCTGTACTGATGTGTAGAGCATAACAAGTTGAACCCTCAGTCGCCATCTGACCAGAAGAGCTGTTGTGTAATGGAGGAATAAGGCAGAGTTGTCTGTTGTTACCTGGCCTATCTCAAATCCATGGAGAAATAGAGGACTTTGCTTTCTTGCTTGGGAAGTCTGGCACCTTTTAATGAGCAGTAAACTTGCTTTAATATTAAAGCTGGGACGTTTTTATGGTTGAGTGTGTCTTGTGTATTCTTGGGGTGAGAGAATCATGCAGCAGTACCGAGCAGTTCTGGGACCCAGAGGACAGAGCTGCTCAGTTTTACTTCATGATTCTCCTGCCTTTAAGAGCGCATAGTGTGCTCTTAATAACCATAAGAATGTTCCTATCTGTGCATGTAAACACATAAATGAGCTGTTTTATACTGGCAATTAGATACTCCAGAGAGTTGTGAAGCTGTGAGATATTGCTTCACTTAGGGTGGTTGCAACTACTTGGCCCACAGCCTACGGCTTTGTTGCCTGCTATAGGTGTTAGCAAATGGCAATGCTAATGTGCTTAATGATATCATTACTAATCAGCAGCCTGGTCAGAACAATTGACCTTCATTGATCTTGGTATTTCTGCTTTTATTTCTTCCTCTACCCTTTATGACAAGCTGTGCAAGCTATTTGCCTTTGAAAGGATGTAACACTTCAATTTTAGTTTGACTGATTTATTTTAATGAATGATATTATGAATTGTCGTTCTGTTGGTTTTTTTTTCCAATCAGTGTGCCATGCTGAACTGAATGCCATCATGAACAAAAACTCAGCCGATGTGAAAGGGTGCAGCATGTATGTTGCCTTATTTCCATGTAATGAATGTGCAAAGCTCATCATCCAGGCAGGTAAGGAGTACTGCCAGCCTGATTCGTCAGTGTTGCAGTGCTGCTTTCTCATCAGTATCATGGATGTATCTGATGTTAAATTGCTGCTGTTAGATCTAAATTAATTGCACTGTCAACTTCATAAGATGCTACTTGTGGGTTGGGGTTGGTGTTTTTTTTGGGGTTTTTTTTTTTTTTGCATCTGAATGGTGCCAAATTTTTCCAGTGCTAATTGCATCTTCTGTGATTCTAAGCGTGCTTCTAATTTAGGTTTGTAACTTCTAGACCAGGAGCTGCCAAAGAACAACACAGGCTTTGCATATAATTACTGTCAATTTTACTGTGCTCTGACACTGAATAGAGTAGGGCAGAAAGAAATAAACTTCTGCCATGACAAAAGGTCTGTTGGGAGTATATACATGAAATTTTAATTTGAACGTGATGCATAGTAGATATTTGAAGATTTTAAAATATCTTTGCTCATAAATGTCACAAGATTGCTATGATCCTACTTTAATTATGTCTTTTATTACAGTTGTTATAAATCTGTGCCACTGCAGAAAGTGTGCTGGCCTAAATGTGTTGCCTTTTTTTCAGATCAGGCACCTGCAATAGGCCGCCGTTCCAATGAACATCTCTGCTTAAGCAAAGCTTATGTTTTGTGCGTTGAGTAAAGTCTTGCAGTCTTAGCATGCATTGCTATTCTGAGGACTTCCTCTTGCCATAATGGGCGTCAGAAAGAACAAAAGAAGAAAAAAATGTAGCTAAAGGGAGTACTTTTTTTGGTCTGTAAGGCTTGAAGTGAAGAGGGGTGAAGGCGGAAAGTGACATTTTTTATTTGTGCTACATTTCTCTTATTTACAGAATAAAAATCAAGTGGTCTTCAAAGGTAGACTTGCTGCTTGTTCTCGGTGTAGTCACTCATCCTTTTCCTTATGCACTGAGGTCAGCAGAAAATAGCATTGGTATTTATGTTACCTGGTAAATACAGGAAGATGATGTTAGGTCTGAAATGTCTCTTGGGTCAGCCTTTATATTTCTACTGTAAGTAGGGCACAAATTGTTAATTTGTGTGTGTCGTCATTCCACAGTTTGAGGCAATATGTGCTTATGAAACTTGGAACTGAAAGTTACTTATTGAATGGAGAAGAAAAAAGCATCCTTTTATAGCTGTGTGTTTGGAAGGGGATTGAGATTTGGGGTTCTTTGGGAGGAATTTCATCTATATTAGGTAACGGGACAAGTTTTCAACAGCTTTTTGCAAAAATGCTTTATTCCTACTCTATCTGCCTTGAGGTTTTCCCTGCAAGTTTTTGGATCTGGTCTTCTGATGTGAACTTAGGTGAAATCAGGGAAAACACTTTCTAATGGTCTGAGAAAAATGCCTTCCCAAACAGCTTTACCTTACACAGACTTATTTTCATGTACAAACTCTATGGTTCACTTCTGCTTAGAGTTCTAAAGTATGTGGGTGAGTGCTGTCTTTTCTGATTTTGTGTACCAGTTTTTATGTCATTACTTTTTATTTTCCCATGGAATTCCATTTTTTTTTTTTAATGACCTTTCTAGGCATAAAGGAAGTGATTTATATGTCTGACAAGTATCATGACTCTATTGAAATGACGGCTGCACGGCGGATGTTTGATTTAGCTGGTATTGTATACAGGTAAGAGAGCTTACATTTAACTTTGTTTTTATTTCAGAAAGGAAGAAAGTTGTGGAAAAGGCCAACTTTCAGGCAAAAGTGTCGTCTTCTGCATTGTACAACTTTTTATTCACTGATAGCAGGCTTGCTCTGTATACCTGTGAAAGATACTGGGTTGACAGACAGTTGCAACATTGTCTTTCCCATATGTGTTGCTAAAGTTCAATTTCATAATGTTTGTATGAAAAAAAAAAAAAAACAAACACACAATTGGAGTTTTCCTTTTTATTCCTGGCCTTTTTTTTTTTTTTTTTTTTTAAGAAAATTTCTCTTCATTTGCCAGCGAAATTGTGAATATGATAGTTTGTTTGTTATGTTTTACTTGGAGAATCATTGCTGACCTTGGTTTGAGTAGTTTAGACTTCCCAGTGAGTTCTTAGAGTCCCTTACCACAAGAATTATCCTATGTGTGTAACTGAAATGACTAACTTACTTTACAAGGATGACCTGACGATACCTATTGAAAGTTCAGTATCTTGTTGCAGTCAATTTAGGCAGGTATCAGATCAGCCACCTGCAATTAATTCTTGGTGCCTATAGCTGTCCAATCTTCTTTGGTCAGCATTTCTTGTGAGAAAAGTATAAAATCTGGAATATTTGCCTTAAAGTAATGAGAAACTGAAAAATGTTTGAAGAATAGTTTTTGAAGACACTGGCAGAGATACCTAAAGACAATCTGTTCAACAGCTAGTTTGATAGCAATAACATGCTGTGGGTGAAGCTAATTATCTGGTCAGGAAGGCATTGCAACTCTGAAAAGTTTTACAGTATTAATATAAAGACTTCGAAAAATTTGCAAACATAACAATTCTGACAGATAAAATCTTATGATGAAAGGTACCTACTGGGTTGAGAAACATCCATGAAAAAATATAGCCGTACTTGAAATTCAGTTTTAGTTCTTCAGTGTATTTTGTGCCTACTAAGACTGTTTGACTAAGAAGCATAAATCATTCCCTTGCAAGTCAAATCTTATAACTTCTCCAGGGTGAGAAGTGTTTCTTGTATTTCGGACTGCTGTTCTGGACAAAGTACGTTATAGACTGTCAGTTTCTGTGCCCAGCAGCATGAGCTTTCCTGTGTTGACTGTTCTTTATTCTTGTATTGATTATTAAAGATGTAGGTGGTATTTAATGAATCTCTTGAACTGAATTGCAGAGCTTAATTAGGCACTAAATCCACACTATTTGCATAATCCTTTGTTTACTGGTAGACTGGAAAATATATGCTTAGTCCCCAAATACCTTCCTTGCTAATTGCTGTAGCAGATGCTCTAATGATAATAAAAGGAAACGATTTGTGGCTGTATTAATTTTATAGTTTTAAAGTTACAATTTTTAAATTATTCCCTCTTAACTAGTTTGGTTTTTTCCCCAGTACAGTACATAATGTGATCTATTCCCCTAGCAAAAAAAAAAAAAATAAAATAAAAAAATAAAAAAAATAATACACAGAGGCAAAGTTTGAAAATGTTCTTTGAAGACGTGGTAGGGAAAAAATGCCATCAAAATATTTGTCAAAATACATTTCAGATATTTTGTATGTACACATACAGATATACCTATGCATGTATACATATATATAGTATATGAAAATACGTGTGTGTGTGTGTGTGTGTGTACATACATGTATGTATGAAATATTTGAAAAAAAATCCCAGCTTTGGTAACGTGATGCTACCGCCTGCAGCTAAGTTGTTAAAACTTCTTTGACTCCTGGGTAATTTATGAACTCCAATAGCCGAAGAATGTACAGGCTGACCCTCCCCATGTGTCTTTTTTTGTCTTAGTCTTTCTTGTCCAGGTTTCTCGCAGTGTGGTGCACTATAATTGGCTCCCACAGAGATGAAAACTATGTGAACCCAAGGAGGGTTTTTTCCGTCAAAAATGCAGCTGGAGCTAAAGCAAGCAAAATGTTTTAACTACTCACTAACTAATATCTGTATTTTTCTTTATTTTAGGGAATTCAAGCCAAAATGTAACAAGATCATCATCGACTTTGATTCAATTAACAGCAGACCAAGTCAAAAACTTCTGTGAATTAAGTCCCATTATATCTCTAGAAGACTGTGATTATCCTTCTCTAAAAAGCTGCTAATGCCTTTCATCTTGAAGTTACTTGCAACTTTTTAATGGCTTCTACAGTAAAGTAGACTTCTAAGAAATGTAAGGCATAAAATGTTCCTCTCACTTCATCTTGTCATGTGGAATCTAAATCAACTTAAAATCTTTAATGCCTTTATCAAATCTGCTTTAAAAGTCTAGGAATGTAGGTGAGACAATATAATCCATGTACAGAAAACTGTTCTGGTTCTTGCTGCATTCATCACCACATGCTCTGATTGGCTGTCAGCACTGATTTAGAGTCAGTTAAACAGCAGTTCTTATAGTAACCAGTAGTACATTCAAATATGCTAATGTATGTTGATCTCTCTATTGGATGTGTGGATCTAAATAGCTGATCCTAATAAATGACAAAATGTGTTATCCATACAAGTACCAATCTTCTAACTTGCATAACACTAGTGTTTTAAAAGGTTATACAGATTAAAGTATATATTGTATTTTACATGTGTTACCCAACAAAAGGAAGTTGATTTTTCTATTAACTGCTATCTAATACTGTTATACTTGTGCGGTGGTGAGACAGGAAGTTGTTCTGAGAATGGTCGATGCTGGAGCAAGCTTTAGAGACCTTTCAATTCTTTTTTTTTTTTCACCAAGACTCCAGAATTGAAGGGGTTAGAAGGAGTATATCATTTCTCTCTTACCTTTGGGACACCTATTTGGAGTTGGTTTTCAGGTATAGAAGGAAATTAGTTGATTGGTCTAAGTTCACTCTAGACGACCCAACACAGTTCAGTCTTAAAATTAACCTGTAAGATAACTCAATCCTTTTTTTGCCCTTTGAGAGAAATTGGAGATACTCAACCCATATCCACATCTGAGCCAAAAGAGGTAATTATTATGGTGTTAGCTTGTTTCTCAGTGCTAGCGTAGTACTTTCATTTCTTAAATGTTGCCTAAAATAATATCCTTTTTAATTTTATTTTGAGATCTGGGAATATATTTTGTGTTCATTTTCTCTAATTTGATTTTTTTCAAATTAAATATGCCTAATGGCTTTGTTTTAGATTTTTTTTTTTTTCTTCTAAAATGTGGTTATACTTCAGTGAGCTTCTATTTTCTCTGAAAAAGCTTTGTTTCACATTTTGGGACGTTATGCAATTTGGCTTCATACCAGTATTATTAAAGTCTTATTAAAATCTACTACATTGAAGTAGACTCATTATTATAATTTTAAGCCATGTGCTTGGTTCCAGAGTGCTTCTGCTTTTGCAATCATATGCAAAGCATATTTTGTGTGTTTGTGATATTACATAAAGTGTAATGTTTGTGAAACATTTGGCTACTAAAGGGAGCACTGTAATGTATTATAAGATATGCCCATTTATAAAGTAATTTCTGATATTCTCTTTTTTTTTTTTTTTTCTATACAACTGCTTTCCACCTCAGAATTGTTCTGTGGCTCACTGCCAGAAGAAGAAATTTGCACATATGTGGAGGGTGAGGGTGAAAAATGAAACATTACATTAATAAAATGTCACTAAAACAGCTCGTGCACATCTTTGTCTTTAGTCTGAATTGGAACTAGAAGCATTTCTACTTATACTGTTCTGACAATAAGACAGAGGGGAGAGAAGCTGCAGAATTTTGGTTTTGGTAGTAAAATCACTGTTTTCTTCGTAGATTTAGGTTCGGACTTAGAATATGTATGTATTGTGATTCTGGTTAATTTAAACATTGTTATGTAAGGCCTTGGATAATGAGAATGGAACATGTACATAAAAATTCAAGGGGTGTTTCAAGCAAAGTTCAAGTGTTTCTAGGAATGCACTAGTTTTATAATGACACGCACATTGGACTTTCCTGTTCTTGTATAACAAAAGAACAGTTCTGGAGAGTACAGTAGGATTTCATATTTCTTCCAATCACTGTTTTTAGTCTGGTGGAGCCACGTATATATCGTGTCAGGGTAATTTTCAGTTGATTCAGACTAGCAAGTGGGAGCTCTAACTTCCAGAGCAACTTTTTTTCCTTTCTATTAAACCCACACGCACACTTGAGAGAACATGTGCTTAGCCTGAGGTTAATGTTTTAGAACAAATCCTCAAAATTTGACCCTTAGTATTTGTAGGTGTGCCTAGAAATCTCTTGTCTTTTTTTTTTTTTTTTTTTAATAGTCCAGGAGATAACACTTTGCCTTCCAGATAAAGAATAATGTCAATTACCAGAGCAAACAATGAAAATCATCAAATACAGTAAACTCGTTTCTGCTCCTGAAGCTCAGGTTCAGGACAAATGGAGCTGCATATGATGGAAAGGCAACTAGAGGCCATTTAGTCCTACTGTTGATGAAATGCCGGCTGGCAATCAGTGAAAACCAGCTGTTCAGGGCTTGTCCTGTTGACTTTTGCATGTCTTCAAGTGTGGGGATTCTGCAGCCTTTCCGGTCACCCATTCCAAGTGCTTGCTCCACACTGTGCTTTTTTTTTTTCTTTAGTCAGAATTTCTGCTGCTACTGCTTACATCTCTTGTCTTTCATGCTTTTGCAATACCTGCCTGAAAAAGGTGAGGCTTCCTCTCCATAAGCATGTGTTAGGTAGCTCAAGTCAGAAGCTGGGTTCCCTTCACCTTCAACCTTTTACTCTGCGGGCTGAATGAATGCCGCTCTCATTCTGTCTCACACATTACATGCTCCACTTCTTCACCATCTTCCTCGCTGTCTGGGGAGCTCAGAGACTGCACAACTCCAGATGTGGTCTTAAAAAAAAAAAAAAAAAAAAAAAAAAAAAGTTGAATAGAGGAGCAGGAGTACTCACTTCTGTCAACCTGCTGGCTCTGTGCTTCTGAGTAGAGCCTGTTATGTGACTAGCCTTCTCTGTTGCAAAGGCATTTGGTCATCTCGACCACCTTGGTCCTTGTCTACCCAGGAGCCTTCCATCCATTGTGCACCCAGCCAGTCCTCTTACATGAAGTTATTCTGTTCCTGGTGCAGGATTTCCCTTTCTGGAATTGATCACGTTTTTGTTAACCCTGGCTCCATTTTGAATCACCAGCCAGTTTCCTTTGAGCCCAATGTTTCACCAATACAGAGCCTCACAGGACCAGTCCTGGCTACCAACAGCGTGGCTATGGAAAACCACCTCTCCAGAGGAAAGGCAGGCAGCCAGACTGAGGTTTTGGTAGGGGGCAGTTTCAAAAATACAGTGCAGGAAGCTGACAGGAGACTCTGGGGAGCACTTTGTGGTTTCAAGGGTGGGCATTTTGACAGTGTAACAGCTGCCCTTGGAGCTCTGAACACTGAGCATTTTGCAGCTTTGTAAACGAGGAATGTCTTCACATACAGAACAAAAATTATACTGTGACCAGCATAATCATTCAGATTTCCAAAACAGCATATAAAAACTGCCAGTGAAAGCTCCTCTGGTGCATCACTCAGACCGAAAGCTCTACATGCAACTCAGGAACCTGCGGTAGTTCATCAGCTGCTGAAAAAAGTCTTGCAGGAGTTTTAACTTTGCTGAGAACAAGCAAAAACTAAAAATTCTGAAGCGGGGGGCTGGGAGACTTGGCGCAGGTGAAGCGTGACGAGGCACGGGGTCTTCAGCTGCTCGGCCTGCAGCAGCGATCAGGCTGGGCTTGGCCGCACCTGGGAGGAGCTGATGAGGTGAGCGCGTGCGGAGCTCGTGGCATGAGATGGAGGCGCGCCGCGGGGAGGGCGTCTGCTACAGCCGGCGAGGAGCGAGTCTTGCAGCAGGGAGGCAGCGCTACGTGGAGGTAAGGGTGACAAAGGGTGACAGACTGTGAGTTTGGGGCTTGTTCTGTGCTTTTACCTGAATTTTGTACTTTTTAGAGGAGTTGGGTTGGAGAGCTGCTGTTTCTTTCTTGGGCTTGTTGAAGCTTGCGCTGGAAAATCAGGCCTTTGTCCGCGTGCTCCCTCTCATCTAAACATGAGACAAAAAATCGAGCTCGGTGCGCTGGATTTTTAGTTGTTAGCGTTATTTACAGTGCTCTTAACAAACGGTGCCCTGAAGGGAGTGAAAGTAATATGCTTCAGCCACCAAAAACGCATCATAAAGAAACAGTTGCCCGGTCTTTCCTGGGATTTCCCACTCCGTGTTTTCACCTCCCCAGTCCTTCACTGCTTTCACCTGACGCGTACTCCAGTTCTGTAGGGCTCCTCGCACCGAACGAGGGGGAGCAAAAAGCGTTCAGATCATCCCTTCGGTGGTGTTCTGCTTTGCTTCGTGGTTCGCTGTGTTCTTCAGTTGGTTGTGCAGCTCGGTGCAGTCTTCTACGTGGCATTTCTTTTTTTTCCTCTTTTTTTCCCCTCGACTGTTCAATCAGCTCTGCTAATCACAGTGTTGCTGGGTAAACAGAGCTGATTAAAATTAAAATTTCAGTTTTGCGTTGTAAACGATGTGGCACTTTAATACTTTTGCTGTTGTGAGGATACTACTAATAACGCATCTGGTGTTTTCTGGTGTGGTTCTCGTGCTTATTCCTTGAGAAGCTGATGAGTTTTCGAGAGATCCACGTTCGGTTGCTAGGATTTTGTGGTACTCGCGTTTCCTTTTTCAGAAACGGCTGTGCGTAATTACATTGGATATATGTATCGTGTTTATTCTTTCTGGTTTCACATCTTACGGTGAAGGCATGTTTCTGTGACATTTGGGGCAGTTGCTCTGTAAGAAATGAGTCTTTGCTGTTAACATTGCCTATCTGAGAAGAAAACAAAAACAAATCAAGAGGACATCCAGAAGGTAGTTCGGTGTGGAAACGACTTGAAAAAGTGTTAATTGTTGTTTGGAGGCTCCGCCTGAGGAAAGGGGTAGACCAGAAGGAGACCAGAAGGCTCTCGGCAGGAAAACAAATCTGTGATAGGGTGCTGAAATTTGAGCATGAAAGGAGGAGAGAAAAGGACTTGTGGTCCCTGAAGAGCTGTGTTATCTGTTGGGTGCTTCGAGGCCAAAGGAAGCTGTCTTGAAACAGGAGAACGGACCTCACTGTGATTTGGGCAAATAGGATTAGTAAGAAAAAGGTTGGAGATCTTGAGCAGCTGAGGCTGTTTTGTGCTGAACTGAAGGAGCTTTTCGAAGTAATTAGGGAATAATAGTGTCGTGGGGTTTTTCTTTCTTCCTTTTTTTTCTTCTTTTCCCCCTGAAGATCTACCTTTCTCTTGTGCTAATTAGAGTTATTGTCTTTTGAAATTCACAGCCTTAGTGTGCCTGCTGCTAAGAGGTCGCTGCAGAGTACCTACGTGGTTGGTTAGTAGAAGCACAGTGAATGCTGTGTAGGCTGAGTGCAGGTGGGAACCTGGTGGTACGTGAGAGGCTGACTGCATCCCACTGAGAGTCAGCATCTCTCCAGAAATAAAACCTCCAGCTGCCTCTGGAGCAGTGGTTCCAGGTGTGTGCTTTGAGTGCTGCCTGTTCCTCTGCTTCTTATTCTTTTGCGTCCTCAGTGTCTCTTCCTGCAACTCCCATCATCTGCTCTGAGGTCTCTCCAGGGACTTGCAAAGACAGGAGCAAGAGGGGCTGTATGGCATGCAGCAGGATGCAGGTTCCTGAGGATGGGCCTGTGGAGTCCTGCACCCAGTAGGACTGACTGAAGCCTGCAATAAGGTGGCTGATGTCTGGGGTGCTCCTTGATGTGAAGCATA